AGTTAGCCACTTTTTGACATCTTTCACAGAAAATGAGATATATAGGCTCAAAGTGGACGATCCGGGTGTCGTTCTATTAGAGGTTTTACGGTATCTTGTTTCATTACCTTTCCTAATCCAAATGCCTCCTCCCACGTACAAAGATTTCGGATATCTACCAAAAGGGGGGTAATGATTCTGCTTTCGAAGTACGTCACATAGATTCGAAAGTCCCGGAAATAATCCGCACTTGAAAGCTGAAAAAAAAACTGGTCTAATTATCACAATGTTAACAATTACCACGCGTTGGAAATGAAATCGGTTGAAAATCATATCGACGTAATGCAGATAGTCCCTAGTGACACCTATGTCTTTCTTACATTTGAGTATTTGGCGGCAACGCGGTGTTAAAAACGTGATGTCTCGTGGGTCTGAAATTATTATTAAATTAATTCAAGGTTCATGAAACAACAGTGAAAATTTGCTAATCTCGTTGAAATGTTGTGTAGGAGATATGTATTCCAAAGTTTCAGAGAGAAACGAGAACTGCTATATCTTACAAACGTTCAGAGAGATTGGACGATTTTGAAGAAAACTATAAGAAAAGATGGAAACGTACCTGCGTATAAAGCTGCGTATGGGTATTGAACATTCTTCGAGTCGTACCACGTGTACCGAAACTCATCCAAACAAGCGAACTGCAAAAAGTTTTTTTTGAAGGATTCCTTGTAGCTATCGCAAAATAGTGATCCTTTGCGTTTCTGGAGATGTGTTGGAAATAATTTGTTCAAAGGACAATTTTTCCAAATGACTTCTTTTTAACGGACTTTTTGTTTCGAGCAAATCCTTATTTTGCGATGGAGCTGACATTTTGACGGGAATGTGAACTCACTTGGTCAAAGGTGGTTGGAGGGGGTGTGGTTGTCGTGGTGGTGGTTGGAATTGGTAAGTAGCCTTCGTTCATGTATTTTAATTTCTCTTCATTGTAACGGTATGTACCCGACCACTTTCCACACTCTAAAAACCGGGAAAACCACTGAAAATTTAATGAATAGTTTGTAGAATTGTGGGTATCTTGTTTCGTTACCTTTCCAATTCCAACTGCTTCCTCCCATGAACAAAGATCCCGGATATTTACCAGAACTTTTTCAGTGGTGTTATTGTCTAAAAGACGGTGAGCTACTTGTTTCATTAGGATATCAAGCGACTCTCGGTGCTGAAAAAAAGACATCGGTCATATAATCACAATTGTAACAATCACCATGCGGTTAGCAAATTTCTCGATAACAATTTCGAATCTTGTTAGCGGGTATCCTGGTGAGAAACTAGTATCTTCAATAGGCTTGATTATTTTGCGGCAACTTGGTGTTAATAACATAAGGTCACTAAACTTATCCTCCGATCCGCCTGAAAATATGTTATCGATTCGGGGTTCATAAAATCACGGTGAACATATTCTGATCTCTATGAAACGTTGTAAACAGGATATATCGAAACTACAAAGAGTTTTTTTTTGAGTTTTTTACTCATAATACTCATACTTCGAAAATTGTAACGAATACCGATATCTCTTACAACAGTTCAAAGAGATTGGACGGTTCTGATGTGAGGCAAAACTGTTCAAATAAAGTTTACCTGAGTAGCTATTAATCCCGTCGTATTGAACATTCTTCGAGTCGTACCACGTGTACCGGAACTCATCGAAGCACGCGAACTGCAAGAAAAAGTTTTTTTTGAAGAAATCCATGTAGCTATCCCAAAATAAAGGTCCTTTTCGTTATCGGAAGTCCTTTGGTAACAATTTGTTCAAAGAACCTCTATTTCGAATGACTTTTTTTCATAGTTGCAAAAGGCCGGGCCGGGCTGGGCCGAGATTTTGCAACTATGCTTTTTTTTGGTGGACCTTTCATCTCTAAAGGGTCTTTTCTTTGGGATGGAGCTGAAGTTCTTGAAACGGAAACAAGAATTCACTTGGTCGACGGTGGTGGTTGGAGGAGTTGTGGTAGTCGTGGTCGTCGTGGTGGTCGTGGTAGTTGGAGTTGTGGACGTCGTGGTTGGAGTCGTGGTCGTAGTTGGGGTTGTGGTTGTGGTCGTCGTTGGAGTCGTGATAGTTGGAGTAGTGGTCGTCGTGGGT